AATTTTCTCCACAAAATTCACTTCAAATTTATGTTCACTAATAAAAATATATTTACTATTTAGTGATAAGGATATAAACGTAAACCTATTCAACGCATTCTTGACTCATCTCTAGAGATAATTATGTTTATGTACTTTCCTACGTTTGACACCCAGCTGAGGTTCACGATTTATATAGGAAAGTGAGTTTGAAGACTATTTATCACATTTATTATAAAAGTATAAAACATAAATTAGTTACTTTGAATAAACGAAAAGTTGATTTTCATTGATGTTATGCATTATTTATAATAGAAAACAAAGCGTTAGATCAGCAATAATTTGAACATAAAAAGTATAATAAATTAACACCAATTATAGGGAACCATCACTTCATTACTGCACCGACTGTTTGTTTTTAGACAGGAATTGTGTGAAGTAATTGAAGTAATTCAGACAATTGATGACAACATGATAGAGTGAAATACACTTTGCATTCAAGTGTTTCCCAATAAATAAGTTCATAAAACTCCATATAAATGGCATTCATTGCAAAAATGAATTATATTTTGAGTTATAAATTTCCATTTATAAAGTTATACATCAATTTTATTAAAACCTAGTTAATATCTTAATAATTTTACAACAATTATTATTATTATTATTTATATGTATACACATATAATATTAATGAATTCGGTTATGAATTATAATATATTAATAATTTTACAATCAATTAAATATTCAACAGTTATTTTTAAAAACAATCACTACTATTGTAATCACAATAAATACAAACCAATGTTAAGTAATATAAAACAAATTTAATAATAAATATAAAAGAAAAACATAATTTAATTGAGAAATATTTAGAGATTTCAATGGTTTTAGTTATACATTATGTTCTGTAATCAAGTGATGGTTAAGTTTATCCTTTCGCTTAAATTTGCGACAACAGATCTGACACTGGAAGAGCACTCCGACGTGTACTTCATTTATATGTCTTCGAAGGTTTACAATCCTTTTGTGACAAAACGGACACTCACTCCGAGTGTCACCAAAACCAAAGTTAGATAACGACTGAAAGCCATACGATCTCAAAGAAGAGCGCCTTTTGTTACCTATCAATCAAAGACCAAATCATTACTTTTAATTAAAGCATTTAATGGTCTTCTCGTAAATAACACATCATTTAACCAAATAATTTGCTCTCATTTTAAGGAAAACAAATGTGATTCTTATGGTTTCGAAAACTTTTAGAAAACATTTAGAAAGTGAGAGAAATATGTATATTATATAAACACAATTCAATTGTTTTTTATTGAAACCAAAGGCCAATACTTTTAATCAATAATTTATTATAAATGACATTTAAATGGCAGAGAAATAGTATCAAAAATGATTAATAAAATTATTTATATAAATAATGATGAATTTATAAGTTATGATATGATATATACAACGAATACACGGGTATTATCATCCAATTGCGTGCTTTAATTTTTTATGCTCTTTAAGGTAATCCTTCCGGGAGTAGGATTTCAAGCATATTTCACATTCATATCTCTCTCGGTCTGTATAATGTCTGGCCATATGTCGTCGCAAACTGCTGTATGCGGTGAATGTGAGGTGACAGAGATGACAGACACATATCTTGCCTACAATTACAACACATATAGTAAACCATTAGTTTCTCAATTACTTTCTATCATTACTCCAGTGCTAACCATCAATCACTTCCCAACTCATCCCTATATCTCTACTCCTTTCACTACTGTACTGACTCTATGGCATCTAAATAACGGACTTTTATTCTTGAACTATAGTATAGTTACTATACTAACCGTAAACTAACAAACAATATATTATTGCAAAAAATATAAAACAATTGTATTGCGTTTACTCTATGTTATGACATCAATGGTTACATTAATTTAAATTAAAAATTAGTAAAATTCTGGGAGACTAATGGTGTGGGACTCGAGTTATGGATTTGGTAATCAATGATAGCGTATAATTACCGGGTTGTCCTGAACTGGAACCGGCGCTCGCGTTTGGATCCGACGGACTCTCCACCATAACTGATGAATCTTCGCGTAAAGAGTTGGACACTTGACTCGAAGAGTCATCAAATGATATGATGGGCTTAACCTCTAATATAATTAGCAATAAACCCAAATTAGATCAAAGTATTGATCACATTATTTGTCTCATCAAATTACCGAACATATCGTTGGATTCATCTTCTTCGTCGTCGTCGTGAGCGGTCAGCGCCAGAGCGGAGCTGTTCTCCACTTGTGACGGCCACGACTCTAATTGCTATTACATTTCAAATCAATGTTAATCTATGACTTAATTGGGGTATAAATTAATTTACGTTTCCGTTGTTAACGTGTTGTTCACTGCAATCCGTCAGCTGTTTATTGCTGTCGTTGTCACGAATCACTTCCGTCTCTAAGTTCTGCAGTGTTTGTCGTCTT